GAATGCCTACAAAGTGAACGCTTGATTTTTATTGGGATCTTCTCAGCAGGAGGAATCAACATACTTGTTCCAGAGGGGGCTGGGACTAATATTAGGTGCTTCCATAGCAAAGAATGGGACAGATGTTCTCCAAAACAGTCTAGGAAAACATTTAAGAAATAGAGGATTTCCCATGGGAACACAGAAATTTAGACAGATTTACCAGCTTGAAAATGGATATGAGTCTTCCTGCAAATCTTCCTGATTTGCATCAAGTAACAAGCAGTTTAAGTCAGCACCTCAGCCAAAGTAGCCTCTCTGGCTGCAAATCCTGCTCTGTGTGGCCTCCTTCACTCAGCTACAACTTTAAATGTTTGTCATAGCTGGGAGGACAGAAGAAATAGGTTATCAGGATTGACTCTTGGCAATAATGGTGCTTCATTCTGATCAATATGTGTTTCTTGCTCATATAACCAGGAGGAGCGCTTGCCACTACCACCTTCCTGACAGTTCTTAATGTACGCATATGTCTTCAAACAAAATATGGTAGAAATTAATTTACTGCCAGATTCAAAGAGTAAACATAGCCTGAAATTAAAACTATGAGGTTTTTAATACTGCAAATTAGGAGAGGGGAGGTGTGGGGTGTGGAAACAAAACAAAAAACCCCAAACAAAAAACAAAACAACAGCCCAGGAGAAATGATGAGTTTACAGTGCTGAGCCTTTCAGAAGAAGAGATGCTAAAGATTGGAGCAGAGTCTTACCCCTTTGTCGTGAGTTCATCAGGGCTGATGGATTTTGATGAAGCCAACTTGCTATTAAAAAGGGATCTTTAATCTGTGAATTGTTGCTAACTATTTAGTACATTCTCTGTGTTGGTGTATCAATCAAACAGGTATTAAAAAAGTTCTCAAAAGGTGCTTTGTCTTTACAAAAAAAATTTCATTCAAGTGTGAAAACCAAAAAAATTTTCACAGGAATATTTTAGGACAATTTTTCCTTCGTATCCAGCATATTTACATGAATTTCAGTTCTCTGAACTTGTGCCATTTTCCACAGATCAGCATAATCGGCACACTGAATACACCATATTTTTCCTGTGCTTTGATATCAAACGTATATATTGCTCTAAAAACTTAACTGTTATGGAGAACTTAATACTATCATACAGGAGAAAAGCAAAAATTTTTTTTTTCTTTTTAGAGATAATTGGACTAAGTTGTGGAGTTTTGTTAATTGCCAAATTAAGTTGTGGCTTTATTCATAAATTATATTCCTGAAATATTAACTGAAATTTATTTTTGTGGCTTGGCATTCAACCGCTTCCCTGTATTCTTTTGGCAGCACTGTCAGAATGAATATATAGGCTGCATGTGAAAGAGATGCTTTAACTATAAAGACAAGGATCTGCTGTCAAAAATCTTCAGAGATAAATCTACTTTCTTTCCTCCAATATGGTATATTCCTCCCAGCAGACAGTAGCAGAATTTTAAGGCACTAAAATTGTAACTTCAAACATGATGCTTGAAGCTTTTCTAGCCTTTCCCAGTGAAACTATGTTTGAAGTAATCATTTTAGAGGGATGAAGAAGAAACCATCACTGAGTTTATGTTCAAGTTCCTAGGGAGAAGAACTTGGTTTTATCCTGAGGGGAACGCCAGCACAGATGAGCTCTTAAATGATACTGTAATAGCTTGCTCTTTGCTTCTCAGCCACCAAACAGGGCAGGATGCTCTGCTTTATTCTTGGTTCAGGGAGAAAGGAGGCAAATTCCCCAGTTGGTCCCTTTAAAGCCTTTCAAAAAGTAAAATAGCTACTGTGTTTTGTTGTGATGATTCTCAAACCATTTATAAAAAGAATGCCTTTTTATGGAAGCAAATGTCATTCACTTATATTGTCTCTTTTATGCGTCATATAAAAAGAAGTAGTAGTATTCCTGATTGTTCTCTTAGATGTATTGCTACCTAAATAATGATGTTTTATGTAGTGATGTGTGCAAAATATGTATTTCCTAGCAACTGATTTACTTAACTGGAAAAGGCTTGAAACCTTTTTGTAGGAAATCTGAACTGAAAACACTTCTGATGCGTTTCAGATAACAATTTATCGAGGTTCTTTGTTCTTTTGTTGAATCCTTAGTTCTTATCTAAGGACTGAAAAAATGCAAACTCTCAAAATAGCCTGGGTTTCCATTTACTTTTGAGAGCATGAAGCACAATTCAGAAAGCCCAATGCAGGAAAGGAATATAACTTTAAAAAATACTTACTTACAGCTCTGTTCCCCTGTGCATACAGTCTTATTCATAGATTGTAACTATAGGTATTGAAAATAGACATTGAGAAAATATATTATACTATTGACTGTTTATTGTTTTAATAAGTTTCTTCTAAGCAGTGAAATTAAAGCTAGCTATTATATTGTTTCACAGCCAGATTCAAGTAGAGTTTCTGCATTATTTTTGAATTACAAATGTTGAAAATGTTATTCTTCTGAAAATTATTTCAAGGAGGTTTTGCAGAAGTAGTTCTATAAAATGATACCTGTTTAGATTGAAAATTTAGGTATTGGAGGAGCAATCTTCAAATTTTTGTCAGAAAATACACAGAAAATAATTATTTGTATGTCTGGTATTTAAAGAATGTTCTGGCTTATTTGGCTTCTTAATTTTCTTCCAAAATTGAGATTTCATCCATTAAAAACAGTTTAAAACTTATTAAAACATTTATCGTAGAATAATAGAATTTCAAACTGTTGAAGCAAGCAAACAAGCAAACAGGCATATACTCTTTAAAGTGAAGAGTCCCATTCTAAGCACACAGGTGAATGCTCATATTACAGTGGTTACAACAGGTATATTTTTATTAAACAAAACAAAAAACAACAAACCTCAAACTTAGTTTAAACAAGCCAAACTGTGGCTGGATCTTTTTCTGGTGCCCTCCACTGTGGGGACAATGGAAACTATTTGATTATTGCCAAAGAGAAGTAACTGCTTGGCTGGAGAAGAAAGAGTTAAAGAAATGAAGTACAATCAAGCAGAGCAACCCAGCTGGCTGAGGAGGAGAGAGCATAAGATACCAAGACATCTGGCTGAGGAGGAGAGAGCATAAAGATAAAAGACTGGTTATTCTGGGACTGATTGTGAGATGGCGAGCAGTGTTAAAAAACAAACTATAAGTCAGGAACTAAATGTGATAGGCTACAAATAGAATGGTATAAAAGCTAGAGCAATAGGCTAAAAATAAGTGTTGTTAGAATGGTATAAAAAGTTAGAGCAGTAGACAATAAGGTGTTTCACTGCATGAAGATGCTCTGGGTCCGTTCCACTAATGTCCACACTCCACCACTTCCCTGGGACTGTTCTTATGAATCTGCATGTTCTTGAAGAGACGGGGCATAGGTAAAGACATAGCAGACATTCCATCGTTAAATTTGGGGGGTTTTCTCCCTTACTATTATCTCACAGCAATAATTCCTTTTTGCAAGTTATTATGTAGTTCATCTGTTCTTAACTAGCAATTCTTAATTTGTCTTCGTTTTACATGGAAAGACAGTCAGAATTTTCTCCTGTTTTCTGTTTACTCCAAACTCCAACAGAGTTGCATTTATGATTTCTTTTTCCAAACATTGTCTAATAATGAAATTCCGTATCCTCTAATCATAAGCTAATCAGAAAACAAAAAAACCCAACAAAAATGTATAGTTACGTTATCCAGACTTATGAGCTATTGATCCAAAATAAAAACAATGGAACCAAACAAGATACATAATAATATTAAGATACACAATAATAATAAGAGAGTATTTCAAAACTCATACGGTGAAAAGTGCTGCCTGACCTCCTGACCCCTTTCCCTCCACCAGCTCAGTGCTAATGACAGTCACCAGTGTCACCTGGAACTAACCTCTGCTTTCCAGCTGTACCCTCTTGTACTCGTTAGTGGTGCTCCAGCCCATAAACTCTGAGGAAATAGCTGGCACTCCTTTAAAATCATAAAACTGGCAGAAATGTGTTAGAGAGAATATACTTATTTCTAACATTAGAGGACCATGACAGTGAGCAAACGTTTTCGTAATTTGAAAACATGTTTGTATTTTACACCTAACTTTATTAACAGCAATTGTCACATGTTTTGCAGCTGTAATCCATCAACTTCAAAATCCTTTATAAGAAAAGCACATATTTATTTCCAGAAAGAGATTGGCATCCTTAAGATATACCAAAAGTGCTTTTGCAAGTGACCATTTCAAAACTAAGATTCGTCGGTAACTAGAATTGCCTGGGGTGGTGTGTGACGTACCACAGGCTGGTACCACCTGCCTTCCCAGGTGCTTGGCAGGAAAGGGAATAATTGGGGCATCCTAATCGGGAGCTGCCTTATAGAGCTGGGCTTTGGATGCTGTGTGTGAGGTTTTCTGCATTGCAACTGGGACAACAGGTACAATGTTTGCCTTGTTGCTCAGTGTTTTTGCTTGCTTTGTCAGTTTGTTTTTCTTCCAAGTGACTGTTATAGTCCTAGGTGCTCATGCTGAGGTGAATGAGTTGGATTTGGAACTCAGGAGAGGTTTCAGAGTGTGCTGGCAGAAGCCATTACAAGAAAAAGA